TAGAAAGTCAATTGTGAATTGAGTTATGAATGACATTTCTTATATTCTTCAGAGCATTGAGCTATAAGTTTTTGCTATTATGTGCCATCGTTCGTCGGCACTATGAATTTCTTTTCACAAAGTCAAACGGCACACCCAACACATTTTAATAGCACTAGCCTGTTTACCTAAAACGAAATCATTGATTTCTGCCTTCTGGCTTCTTTTAATAAGCTTTTATCGGTGGCCGATAGAAAAAAATAGAGCCGATATTTCTCTTTCTTCTCCCCGTGTCTTCATCTCTCTTGGTTCATAATTCTTCTAGTTTTTTGTGTGTGCCACTCTTTTGGTTGACAATACGTAGCGGACGATATTTTTTTAATTCCTTTTATTCTTTTTTTTTTCGAAAAAAAGCGGAAAAATAACAGATAAAATTGTAAACAATGCATTTCTTTCGTATTTCTTTTACTGTTTTCCTCTATCTCTCTCTCGTACATTGTCCATTTTAGGGGATATAACTCTAAGTTAAAAAAGAGCGAAAGAGAGAAAGAAAGCGCAACAAACGTTAGTCATTCGATCGATTTTCAATAATATAAATTGTTTCGACCCACCAGGTGTCTCTTTGGCCGGTGGTCCCTCACTCACTATCTCTATTTCTCTCTATATATCGTCGTCATGCCACATTGGAATGCCACAATTTATAATGCGATAAAACAAATATTTTCATTAGTGTTATCATTCAATTTGTACACAACGAGGCCGTTAACGATGAAACATTCCTTGTACCGTGTGTGTGTGTGTGCGTGTGTTGAGAAGAGCCAACGACGATGACGACGACGACAAAAACAACAACGACAACGACTCAATAACTTTTCCGAAATTGTTTTTTTTTTGTTGTTGTTTCGGTGCTGTTTTGTTCGAAAATTGCGTTAAACTTATAGTGTCGATGTTTTTTTTTTGGTTTTAGAAAGACGGCACAACGAAACGAAATGAAAACAATGTAAAAATTACATTTACAAAACGACAAAAGAAAGTAATGCAAGTGTTGTTTAATTGGCCTGAATTGCCTTCTTCGGTTTGTTTGGTTTGCGATGTGGCTAAAAACATAGAATGAGAATGATGATTGTAAATTGGGAAGTTCTTGAAGCGGAACATAATCATAAAGACAAAAAGATTGACTTTTAGAATCGGCTATGCAATTAATCTGGCGGTTTTCAAATATTCTCTTTACGTTTTCCATCGCTGTTCATGAGTGTTTGTGGCGTGTCGTTTTTGATGTGTATTTTTTGGTTTCGAAAAGAGTCACAAACATACACAAGGTTAATTGAAACCCCAGAAAATTGTCCAAGCGGGAATTTTTTTTGTTCTTTTTTCACTGTGTAGTTGTGTTTTTTTCTCTCATCTTCTTTAATTCTTCGCGGTTAAAATTTTATTTAGAGTATTTTGTATTTCTGCGCGTTTAATTTAATTGTAAAAGCAACAAAAAGTGAAACAAAAAAAATAATACCGAATTACTTTTAATGGCAAGTGTTTTTTTTTTTTTTCGAAAACCGCAAAAGTGAACAACAACAAATCCAAGAGACAAGGAGATACATTCGAAAATTTAAGGAAATTTAACGAACAAACGATTGAAATGTGAGAAGAAAAACAAATTCAATACAGCAACATTCTTGAGTTAAAGCAGCCGTGAGGCGATCAAAAATGGATTTAGCTCATTGAAAACAATGCGCAAAGAGAATATAAGCAATCTCCGACACGAAGAGACAAAAAAAAAACAAAACGCGTTAATTTTAAGCGAACGCAATGATAGAACGAAAATATAACGAACCGAATTTACACAAAACAAAATAACCGAAATAACATATGCATCCAACCGCAGAAAAAAAAACATATAAATGTATTCGAAATGAAGCGAAAATTGTAGCAAAATGGTTAATTTGAAATGTGAAATTTGGTTTTGTTATTGCTGCTTTCCTCTTTCTTTCTCTCTTTTGCATTCGTACCATTTCATTTGTAACATTTTGTGTGTTTGTGTTGAATTTATCTCGGTTTTGCCCCGTTACCGTTCGAATGAAAGATGGGAAAATTGATCTTTCGGCATTACAACTATGGCGGTCTGGTGCTTTTTTCTTTTTTCAAATCGTTTTTGATTGTTTCGTTCTTGCTTTCCAGAGAGTAAATGACAGAGAGAGAGTCCAAACGGTTAAATTTTATTTTTCGCAAGATTCTCGTTCCCAAGACTTACAATGTGTTATAAAAGCTATAAAAAATGCAGCACATAATGAGTGTTAGATAAATGCCGAACCTTGGCCGCTTTATCAAAATTTAGGACTTTTCATTGTCTTTCTCTCATTTCTCTCAAAATTGGCTTTTCTTCATTTTCATCTTCAATTGGGGGCCGGTGTGTGTGTGTGTGCATGCGCTGATTACATTTTCGTAAACCGTTTAGCAAGATAATTTCATGTGTATCATTAATTAGTAATCATCATCGTCAATAAAGAGATGAAATGACCGCCCACCGCCTGTCTTATATTGGAATATGTTCGGTTCTGCCGGTGCTGTCGATTTAGCGAGAGCGGTCAGTTTATTTGATCAATCGAACGATGTTGATGGTTTAATGAGCTGAACATTGAACACACACGGATCCTTTAATAATCATCTGTGTGATCGCTGTTAATCTTCACCTTCTTTATGTTATTTTTGTTGTTGATGATGATATTGTTTTTTTTTTTTTTTTTTTTCATTTTATGTACACTCGAGAACCAAAGAGAAATAAAATATCTTACAACCGCAAGACGAACTATTTCACGCAGTAATCCGTTCTTTTTTGTATTATTAATTTATTGTGTATATTGAATTTCACTGGAAATTTACATGCTGGATTTGCAACTATAGTTCGACTTTTCAACATTTTCAATGTTCTTTTTATTTTATCTTCATATTTCTCTCGCTGTTTATCGATCCCAATACTTGGATGCACGTGGAAAAGTAAAAGACTGCCCATTCCGCTTTGACTGTGATGTGCTGAGTGTGTGGCTGGATATCAGTATGCATTCGGATAATTTATACATTCATTTTGAATGCCTATAAATTGCTCAATTACATTCAAAATTCAGCCTTTTGTTGTGTGCAAGCGCGCACACACGTATCGCACCGATCATTATCAAAGCCACATAATTGAAAATCAATGGCTTTACATTCGTCTTTTATCTTAAACCAAACACTCATTTCTACACACAAATTAACCATACCGAACCATTGATGTTTTAAAACGTAGTAACACGATGTTTTTTTTTCCTTCTTTAAGTTCTAACATTGAATGGAAAAAAATAAATAATCGGAAGATGAACGAGATTTTCCATTTTCTTGTTCTTGCCTCTATTTTATATTTTCATTTTATTGTTATAGTTTTGTGTTGTCGCATTAGTAACGAAAATAAATCAGTGGTTAAGTATTAGGCGGTGTGGTCTCATTTAACAGAGATGAGAGAGAAACAAAAAACATACATAATTAAAGGGACGAAGCGGCTCAGTTGCGCTTCTCAAACTATCTTCGGTGTGCTTATTACACCAAAAAATCAACTAATGTGCCGATGAAAGACTTCAAATAGATTTGAAGCCGGTATTTTAACGTTATTAAATTGTCATATAGCGAGACCATTTCTACGGTTTCTCTCTTAGCACACGTATATCTCAATCTCTCTCTCTCTCTCTCTCTCTCTCTCTCTCTCTCTTAAATTAAGCCAAACAATTTCCCGTTTGATTTATTTGATGAGTTGTTTTATTTGAATAAATATCTACTGCTGCAGTACTGTTGAGATTTCGCTTCTTCCTTGCAATCCGAACATTGCATCTTCCTTGCAATCCGAACTGAAACTTTCAGCTGTTTATATTGCAATACAATCGTCGATATTGTTGATAGCGGCATGAAAACGAAAAAAAACTTTCGTCGTGATAATAAAAATAATGGATTCCGGACAAATGGACGTGAAAAATGCGCATGTGCTGCGATTGGAAGTACGAAAAGAACCGTTGTATTCCTTTGTAGTTGGCGTCGTATAGGCTTTTGTTGGATAATGAAATTTCTAAAAGTAGTTCTAATAGTCTTTGCTATAGCCTCGCTATCATATTCGTATACTGTTATATTTTGAAAGCATAAGCATGCAACTGTTTTGGCCCCGCACACACAATATCAACTAAAACATGCCGTCATTTTTCTCTCCCCTATAACATACTTGATTGTACATGTGTTGTGTGGGTTTCTATCGATTTGTCTTTGTTGCTCACGCGCTTCTTCTGCATTTGACCCTCTCTTTCGGCGCGTATTATCACGCACATCGACACATTTCGAAACCATTTAATTTTTCCTTTCGTACAGAGATGAAAAAAAACACACAACAACCATAGACGACTCGAAACATGCAATCCAATACAAATAGAGAAATGCGCGCATACATTCATTTTGGTGTAAACAGAGCAAGCGAAAAGAATATTCGCTGAATCCTATACATATTCGACATTTATATTCCGGGTGATTTTAGCAGTCAGTTGACATTTCTATCGAACGAACAACGAATCGAACAGAAAAAAAACACACAAAATAAAAACGTTCGTCTTATATATTTCTTATGCAGTATTTGTGTTTGCTTTCACACTATCGATTTTATTTTTTCGGAAATTTAAAAGAGAACAGCAACAAAAAAAAAACAAATTGAAAACTGTGTGTGTATTCTATTTTCGGTGGAAAACATTTTGTGACTTTATATCCAAGCCTTGAATGTGAAATAAAAAAATTGTTTGTGAAATTCAAAGAAAGAACGAAGCGAAACTTATAAACTCAAACAAGAACATCTATTAATGACATCAACACCTCAAAATTTGTCTTCAAACTATAAAATCGCAGATATATTTACATAAGTTTTTCTTCTCTCTCTCATTCTTTATCGAGCATACTTATGTGAAGGAACGAAAGTATTTTAGCAAATATTCGGGACATTTTGTTCTTTTGCAAAATTAATTTGTTGAACTTAAATCTCAAGTTCCATTTAATCAATTGAATGCAGTTGGATATGAAAAATGGTGAAAAATCTATAGTACTTGTACTATTTGAAATATTTGATATAAAAAATAACACGAAAAAAAAAGTTTTAATCAAATTAAAGTATTTTCCTTCAGAAAGTTGATGCAATTTTTCTTCAACATAACAGAAAGTGAATAAGTTTTTTTAAAGAAAAAAAAAAAGAGAAAAGGGACAAATTGGAATGAGAAAGTCAAATATAAATTAAAAGTGTTGTGTCATTCAAAGTGGCGAAAGAGAAAGACGACAACAGTAAAAAAGTACTTTATCTTCTTCCATGCATGTCGAATGCGCTGCAATGTCGAGCGGTCTATGAAATTCTTTTCAAAACGTTTGTGTTTACTTGTTGTAACCATAGAAACCGTACCGTATATGTGTATCTGATGCCCGCTGAAATTGTGTGTGATAGGGAATCTGTGAATATAAACGAGTGAGTGCTTTATACGCGCACGGATGCCATGTGCCACCGCATTTTGTACACACAACAGCACTTATATTCATGAAAATTGCATACCGTGAACTTGAATGCAGGCACATACACACACTCATACTTTCGTTCTCTCATATCTGTAGGCAAAAGGAAACGACGAAAGACTTTGTACCATCATAATCATTTGAAATAATCACGGATATAAAATTTGCTCTCTCAGCGAAATGAACTGAATCATCGTTCCCGTTGTTTTTCGTTTGTTTTCCATTTCAAAACTACCTTTTAAAGAAAATTATACCAATAGAATAAGAAGACATAAAGTGAATATAAGTGAGGATTGTATTAATGTGGTTATAAATAAATGAATGTAAAAAAAAAAAAATAAAGGCGAGAACCTTGTGCTGGCAACGGTATATATAGTTTCCCCTCTTTTCTTTTCATTTTGCAATTCAAAGTCATAAACAAAAATGCGTCAAATCAAAAGGGCACTTTCGTGATATTGTACAATTGACATTCGAGACAATGAACCAAGCTATTTGGCGACGACTGAAATTCTGAAGACGAACAAAACACGAAATTACAAAAGGCATAATAACAACAAAATACTCATAAAAAGAAAACGCGCGCGACACAATACACTAAAACATAAAAAAAGGGAAAATTTGTTTGCAGAGGGGAATAACATTTGACATGCACTCCAAATTCGATTTGGATAGTTGATTTTTGATTGGAATCACTGGTGGTGAACATTTTTTTGTCTTCACTTGCTCGCAAATTAAGAATCATAAGAGAAAAAAACATTAGTTTGGATTTTGTTGTGTGATGCGCAGTATGAGAACGGTTTTCGTTTAAATAATGTGGCCGGGATTTGAAAAGTTCAAGACAAAACAGGATAATTCTAGTCAAAATGAAACAATAGATCACATCTCAACAATTGCCGGCTCATTGGCATCCATCGGAACTGAACACACTGAATCACCGGTAGGACAGAGTGATTATAATTTCTTGTATACCAGAATCTCCGATTTCTTTTGTCAACTTTTTTGTGTTTTTTTTTCTTCCTCTCAACATTGTTTTCGGTGTGCATATGCGCTATTTATGCAGGGCCTGGATGATCGCGTCTACGATACCGACCATACCGATCTCAACTCCGATTTCGACGAATCTGAACTGCGACGTGAACTCCTAGAAGACGTAAGTGAATACTTTAATTGAGATGTTAACCGAATAATAATGAACAACAGCTCAAACAATTCGGTTCTTTTTTTTTCTTATTCACTTTGATGCATTTCTGTGAGAGAATTTTCTTTGTTTAAATCAGAGTCTCCATATTTTTCTCAGAGTCTCCGTCTATTTTTATGGATTTTTTTTCTTTTTGAATTAATTGAAAAACTTCAAATTGATTTCATTTCTTCACAATTTTGTTTCAATTGAATTTTGTGTTATGTTTTTTTCATGCACACAGAAATGGCGTCAACTCTTCGATAAATTTGATCCAGAAGGTTTTGGCGAGATTCCCGTCAATGATTTTTTAGTTGCCTTAAAATCGCCTGAGCTTCAAACCCAAGTGCCTTTTAATAAAATCGAATTGCTTTATCATCGTGCATTGAAATCAAAAGAGCCACACGGTACCGGCTCCATATCATTTCAGGAATTCGTGAATGTGGTAAGTATTTCATCATATGTTCTTTTTCTCCAAAGAATATTGTCGGTTTTTTCGATTCATTTTAATATCGTATAATTTATGCGATAGATTTTCCTGAAAGAAGAAAAAACAAACTCAACGTTCCACATTTAAAACGAGTAAAAAGAAATGTGGAATGTGTCACATGCCGGTGGGAAATGAAATTTTTGTAATTTTATGGTATTTTTCCATCTTCTTTACAAAATATAAATCAAATTCCTTGAATTTTGATTGTAATCGAAAGAACGTGATCAATTTGATGAAATGGTGCATAAAATTTCCGGAACTATTTCTTCAAATAAATGCAAAAAAAAGAAACGGGGAACATGAAAACAAAAATACAAACTGCCGACCATTGTAAATTTGTTCGTGATTTTTTCTCTCTCAAAATGGGTGTGCGAAAAATCTGAAACGTGACTTCTGAGCAAAGTTCATTAGAAAATCGGTGTTGTTCAAAACAACAAGAAATAGAAATAACAACAAAAACGTACAACACTAACTAACATTTATTGTTATGATAAGCAATATTATCGGGGGTGGTTGTACAGTATCTCATTTTGTGAGCAGCAGAACCGGTGTACGAATGAAAATCCCATGTGGAGTGAGGCAAGATAGAGAGTGTTTTGTGCAAGAAGTGCATATCAAATTGACTTGTTATGGAAAACAAGTGTGTTTTCATTTTATGTGATGTGCGTAGTAAAAAGAAACTCATTTCGAACAACAATAGAGAGGCTAACACCGAAGGACAAACATAATATCAAAATTGAGCTGGCCAACACGTTTTTTCAACATTGTGGTCGTTTTACCTTTTCTTCGGGGTTTTCCCTTTGGTTCTCGTATGCCTTTGCTTTTCTTACAATCGACACGGCAAATTATGTGCACACTATATGAGTTGAGCGCCTCATATCGTGCTAAATTTGGCTGTTGTTGTAGTTCATCTCTTCAATTTTTTTCATGTACACTGGGCAAAAAGGCGACGAGTGACAATGACAAATAGGTTACCAAGACATTACCGTTGATATTGAATTCAAAGAGAGAGAGAGAGAGAGAGAGAGAGAGAGAGAGAGAGAGAGAGAGAAATATTGAGCGAAAAAGATGGATAGAGAAAATGCCGCATACAAGGCATGTGAAAATTCAAAATGGAAATGAAGCCGGAGGATAAATACGGATTTAAATAATAATTTTATCAGGTCCTCTCTCTCTCTCTCTGTGTGTGTTTTTTTTTTTGCCTTTTTTGTTCATGTGTCTGCATGGTCCAAGTAAACGTGTCGGTGCTCTGCTAAAATCCAATCATGTATATTCTTCCTCTCTCTCCGCATCTCCATCGCCCTTTTTTTATTATTGCATCGCCTTTACCATTTCGGATGCAATGCATTATTACACATGGTGTATATATATATAGACGTCTATGGATGCTTGCATCATATTCAGAATCGTATCGCATTCTTTTTTCTTCGTTTTTACGTGTCTAAATAATGGGCATTTTCGTGTGTTAATTCAAGAGTTTGAATACCGCTCACGTATATCTTGGTCGTTTTGCTCCTCTGCTTTGCTCCCTTTCTCCCTCTCTCGTTTAGTTCCACAATAAAGAAAAAAACACGTTCAATTTAAATTTATACGATTACCGCCATCTCTCTCCCTATCTCTTCTCTCTCTGTATGCGAGTGTGAATGAATGGGGCGCAGAAATTTACGACAATGACAGGCATTGAAACAAAGAATTTTGCTGAAGGGAACGATAGTTTCCCACAATCGTTTTGTGCGCTCACCAATGAAGAAAATGAATTATATTTGCGCTTGCATTTCATTCATTTCATGTATGTGTTATGAAAATACGAATAGAAAAATATGAATGCCCCCACGAGGTGTGTAATACGTTCAACAACTTTGGCGGCGGCTTTATTTCAAAATATGTTGGCTGATTGGAAAGTGTGAGTGAGACGATTGCAGCGACGGCGACGCACAGATATTCAACCGAGACACATCGGTAACCGAAAACCATATATTCTGAACTAATTAACGCGTATCTTATCCTGTCAGCGTACAACGTACATACAGGGTAAATACCCTCATGAAATGGAAGATGGTACCGAATATAAAAATTTTCTTTAAATTTATGGAAAATCATAAATTAACCATTTTATTTCACAATCGAATGTGTTTGTGAGGAGATGAAAGATGATCAGAAGCGTTCGTAATATATCGAATGAAAGTACATTGTATTCAATTAACATCATGGTCCATGTGAATGTCATGACACTGCAGTGGCTCCGACATACCAGACGTAATTGTTTGTTTGAGTAGAAAAATAAAATTGAATTGGTGTAGAAATCGATACTCTGCACATATTCGCTTGTAATTCACATCAAATCATCGATTGAATCGGTCGAAAGATTACGAGACATAGATAATGGAATAAAAAAGAAACGAATTTTTAAAAAATGAAAGAAATAGCTATATAGTTAATAGAAACATTTGCAAAATGTATTTATTTCCGCACATAATCTGGATTTAATGTTTTGTTCAAGAAAGCGAAGATGAACAAATGAAAAAGAAAATTGAATAGTACGCATTGGAATGGGTTCAAGCAACAGCAACAACAATTCTCTCTTTCTCTCCGCTATCTGATTTGATGTATTTGTTGTTTCGGTGATATTTGCCTACGATTTGTGTGGATATTTATGCCGATGTGTCCATTGTTTGGGCTTTGTTGGTTCGGTTTCATGTTCAGTGTTTTCCTTTTCTCATGTGGCTTCGAATTTGGCGAATATGATGACAACAACTACAATAATAATAACAGCAACGACGACGACGACACACACACACACAAAAATAAGAAGCAACTAAATAAAAGAGATATTTTTTGTTCGAAATCTTTGTGTCATGTTGTAAGCGATTTTGCTGATTTTACTGATTAGTGTACTGATGGACAATGAGCTCAAAAATACAGACATGTACGATTTTTTATGCTTCTCTTCATCTTCTTCACATCATGGTCGTGCGTTGTTTTTTTTTTCTTCTCTCTGCCGCTGCATTTTCTTGTGCTTTTGTCTCTCCTTTTCCATCCCGCATCATCTTGTTTACTTTTCGTCTCTGGTGTTGTTGGCTTTATGCATTCGGTATGCGAATTTCATGGTCCATTTCAATGTGACGTTATGTTTGTGGCAATTGAATGAAAAATTTATGAGATTATCGGGTGGATTTGTGTGCAGTTTTTTCTTCATCTTCTTTTCATCTTCATGTCGTCTCTTTCACACTCTCTCTCCCTTCTTGTCGGTTTTGCCAGTCTCAATCCTCTCTCTGCTCTGCATTTGTGTGACTCATGCTCGCTCTCACGGAGGACAAGATTTAAAGAATGCCCACGTAAATATATGAATTAAATGTATGTCGTCATTCAGAAAGCCGAGGAGAACCAGATAAAGAGAGACAAAAAATATATACGAAAACCAATTATTTTTCAATCTATTCTACTGTTTTTGTTTGTACAAACGAAAACACATATATTCAAAACTTAAAGGCGCATAATATGAAATGCAGAGAGCAAAAGAGATGGAAAAAATGGCAAAAACTCGACAAATTTTGACAATGCATGCATACCAATCATACCTTTTTAATAATGCACAAACAGATACATTCACATTCATGCAGAGTTTTTCGTTTGCCATTGTTATCGCTCATCGGCACATCAAACATTGAAATCCATTTAATACGACAAAGAGAGATGGAGACCGAGAGAGAGAGAGAATTTTTCGGCTAACAATTTTCATCTCGGCCAATTTCAATGGCTACTTTTGTCAAAGCCTATCAATCGCTTTGCAGATTTGGTTACAATTGGTTATTTTGTGGCTGAATGAATGTATGTATGAGAAACAACAAAGACAATAATTCTTTGGTATTTTCCTGCCATTATATTTTCGAATACAGATCAATTCAATATTTGTGTGTTTGTGCACACATATTTTCCGCTCTTTCTCTCTATCTCGGTTACTCTAATTCATTTGTCCGTTTTGCTTGGGTTTTGCAAATGATTTCGGGGCCGAAAGCCACAATTTTACGGTTCAAAACTATTAAAGGATAATGAGTGCAAATTTAGTTAAGTTCAATTGTTGTTGCCAAAATGCCAATAAAATTTACAACAGAAGTATATATAATGCACACATATTCATCATGCACACGAAAGGCAAACGTTGTCAATCCGAGCAGATTGTCCGAAAATTCGAAAATCACCGTAATTCTCTAATAATATTATGAAGTATTTATTGCATTTTTGCGGCAAGGAGAATTTTTCTATTCTTTCTCATTTGACCCGAAAGAGATAAATTTAAATGCAGAAAAAAGAGATTTATTAAAATAAATTAGGTTAAATGTGTAATCGTATTATGATGTGAATTTTGCACATGAATTTATATAGATTGCACTAATCGCACAACGACAAAGTACAGAGATACATTTTCACTGGAAATTATTTATGCCGTTTTGTGATTTTTTTCTCTTCGTTTATTTTGTTTTCATGTACGTGAGAAAGTACTGATCTGAAATGAATGGCAAAATACCTCATCTCTTTATTTGTTTCCGTCTTCTTTTTACTCTGTCGCTCTCTTCACTGTGTTTGTCCACTTTTTTCATCCATCTTACTTAAGTGGATTACGATTTATTGATCGCAAGCGGTAAAAATGTTCTAGCCTTAGTTGTCATTGTATTTCTTCTCAATTCTCGGATTGATTCGATCTAAATTGGTTTTGAAATCTGCCGTTTGCAACAGATATGACTCCATTCATTGCTTTAATTAATCAACGTAATTATTTTGGATTCATCTGTGTTATACGATGCCAATTTCAATAAAAAAAAATCTTCATACATGTCTCACATGAAGCATCTCAATTTGAGCTTAATTACAAATCCTTTGACTCTTCGTTTTTCACATGTTATACTATCGTCTAATATAAACAAAAAAAATTATCGAACAAATATTTGGAATAAGTT